TAGGTTAGGTCAGGTTATGTTAATTAAAAGATATTTGTGACTAACATAACCTGACCTAACCTAACTTTACCTAACCACCTCCCAAAATCAGTTTCAGCAGAATGTGGAAAAATGAAATTCACAGTTTCTGGTAGCGGTCATTGTGATTATCAACTCGTCCTGAAGATTTTTATGGATGATAGTACGGTCTAGGAATGATGTACAGAGATAACAGGAAAGTACCAATTTGTTCCCTTCTCAGTGTCCCTAATTCACATTTTTCCCATTTTGGGGTCTCACTGCTTTGAATAGGCCCAACTGCTGGCCAATAATCTGGCGTCCTGCTTTTTCTTCATCAAGACTGGTTTTGCAAATTTCAGTTACCTCACTACAACATTTGGTTCATAAGTTTTGAGACTTTTTGAAATGGATCTACCAAGGGAGTTTCAAAAATTAAGAAAAAAATGTTACTGGCATAGCCCCATAATTTGGCAACACTTCAGTGCTGTTTAATATACTCTCCACCAATTCCAATACATTTTTAATGCAATAAATCCAATGATCAAGACAGTGCCAAAAACTGACTTCTGTTGGTTGATTAAGCTGCTCTTTGAAGGCGGAACTTTGGAATAAACCCTTTTCAGGTAGTTCTTCACTTTTGGGAACAGCCAGAAGTCACGTGGTACCTACTCAACTGGGAGGGCTCCATTTTCCACATTGCTTGAATGGTTGGATTTATAACATAAACAAATGCATTGCAATTGATGGAGAGTATGTTGAACAGCATTGAAGTGTTGCCAAATTATGTGGCTATGTCATGTCATATGACATTTTTGTAGGAATTGTTGAAACTCCATTGGATCTACAATATCAGTCTCAAAACTCATGAACCAACCCTGGTATTCTCCTCTGAAAGGGTACTAAGCTGAGCTAACTTTTAAATGTCATAATTTCTCTCAGCCATGATTGATTATCACCATTCTGTGAGATTTATATATATACAAGCTGGGGGTGCCCAGCCACACCTGGGCATTGGACACATTTTAGTTTTGAAAACTTGGATGTACTACAGAAATTAATATGTGCAAGAGGGGGTGCCCACATGCAACTGTTTATCATGTTACAAATTATGCAGAGAACTTGAAAAAAATTATGATTAAAGTTGGTTAACTGGTGAAGGACCACCGGTAATCTTGTACTTGTGCTCAATATAGCCATGTTGGTGCCTGAGAAAACAGTTCCTCCAAGCATCAAAGGTGGTGATTTGTCTGGAGAATTTGAGCTTGTCCAAGTTCACTTCCATTGGGGAACTGAGTCCATCAGGGGATCTGAGCACTTCATCAACGGTGAAGCGTGAGTATATATTTACACATATACTGAATACTATAATGCATGCAAGTGCTGCTCATGGTGGCATGGATATCATCAATATTCACCTCAATCCCCCCCAATGAATTTGAATTTCGAGTGCCCACTTTATTCATTTTTTGGACATGACACATTATTCTATGAATCACAATTTGAACTTGCTAGAGGTGGAACCTCCCAGCAGCTGAGTCAAAGCCATTAATTATTCCAGTTTCTAGATTTTTATCTTTGACCAAATGCTTTAAATCCATGCGATTTAAATCTTTGTGGGTGAAAAAAATGCTCGGTCAAACCTCTCACAGTCAAAATTGCAAGCTTTTTTCTCATTAAATTTGGACAACATTTTAAAAAAGCTGCTACAGGAAAAAAATGAGATGCAAATTATTTGCTTTGTGCCTTTTCTGTAAGTGAATAGACATTCAAGAGGACATCTACAAATAATGAACAGCAGTTCAAGCATTTGGCAAGAAAATAATTTATACTGGCTAACCTATACACAAATAAGAAGCCAAATTTGCTAGCTTGAAAACTTCCCACATCACATTTTGTTGAAACCCCTGCAATTTTGACATATACAGAGATTTAACTGAACATTTGTATTGGGAACACAATACTCATTTGAACAGTATTTTATATATATTCACAGCAGCTTTGTAAAAAAATCTTAGCTTTTTTGGAACAACAATTTTATTGATAAGAAAGATCATTAGGATAAATATTAATTTGAAAGTTTCCATGGAAAGTTGAGTGATATTGAAGTGATTGAAGGTTCTCATTTTTTCTGGGTGCCTCTTATTTTTGTGTGAGCTTTTACATGCAGCACATTCAAAATACAGTTGAATCTTGATGAGTCAAACCTCCGTATAAGTCAAATACATCCTCAAGTCAAATTTTTTTCAAGTTCCAGTCTAAATTCCCTCAGAACCAATGCATAAAAGACTCCCTAACTCAAAGAATTTTTCTCTGAAAGCTCTGTAAGTCAAATTTTCTGGGGCCTTTTGGTTATTACTTTTTTGAAATATGAAAGAGAAAATCAATAAAACAAATGATTTGATGCACCTTGAAAGGAAGTGAAAGACTAATAGAAGAAATGAAACCCTACCTCCAATTTCAGCAAGGTGTAAACTCATTAAGTGGCAATTTTATGCCACCCAGAATATCCTCATTTTCAATTTCCTGTAATTTTTTACACTTCTCCTTGCAACAAAAGGGTTCATTTCCTCAACTGCTGGAAACCTTCAAAAATCAAACCCTCGTCCCTAAGTCAAATTTGTTTCCTGGTCCCTATAGAAATTGAACTCAGAGAGGTCTAACTGTACTATTTACACAACTGCATTTTACAATTTTGCCCAAACTGCTGCAAGCATCAGAACCAAGCCTTTTTCCATTTTTAAAAACACCTCATTTCTTCCCAATTGATGATGAAGCCTCTTATTAAATTCGACATGCAAATCACAGCATCAATTATATGAGCGTCTTCCACATATAATCCCTTTTTATATTTGATAGGTTCCCATTGGAAATGCATCTGGTCCACTACAACGCCAAGTTCCCCAGCATTTCGAAAGCCCTCGAGACGAATGACCATGATGCCCTGGCCGTGCTCGGGTTCTTGTTTGAGATCTCGCCAGAGGACAACGGCCGACTGGACTCACTCATTGCAAGGTAACCCACATTCTCAACACATGTACTGTATGTATACGAAACACCATACAAAGTATATTTATACAGTATATATGTACATTATTAATATATATACGAGGGATGGTTCATAAGTTTGGAAAATTTTTGAAATAAATCCAACAGCGTTTCAGCATTTCACCAAAAAAATTTTTACTCGCTTTTATAGCCACACATAATTTGACAACACTTTTAGTGGTGTTCAATACACAGTCTCCGCTGATTGCAATGCATCCTTTCAGGCAATAAAAAAATTGAATTTCTCAAGCATAATAAATTCATCAAAAGTATAAATGATGGAACGTTACAGTATCTCTATCTCAAGTTTTTGAAAGACAATTGCAGTTAAAATTACCTCATGAACAATGAAAGTTGAATTTTTTCTGAATAACACTTCAAAAAAATTTTCACCTGATGAAATACATTATTTCAATTTTTCATTCCGAGAAATCTTTCTTGAAGCCTACCATTCTAATTTTTCAAGACATTCCCTTTGTATAGCTGCTTCATTGGTTCATAACTTGATTTTTGCAAATACTTTTTCAATACCTGCCATAAAGTATTTCAGACAAAACTTTTTTGAGTGTGCAGAAATTTTGAAAAACTTTGCCAGTCTGCAGAATTTTTTTTTGTTGCTTGATGTGCGGGTCCACAAAACATTTCATGAAAATTTGCTTGTCCACTGGCCCAAAAAGGTCGGGGAACTGTCCTGATCTAAAAGGTATCAACAATTGATAATTTACTTTAGTTGATCAATAGACTCCTCTTTGACAATGGAAATAATGAGGCTGTCACTGTCCTCAAAATCAATCCCTTTCAGATAATGAATGCTTCACCGTTGGGAACAGACATGGAGTCACACAGGGTTCATTGCATTTTTTTGGATGTGTTTTTTTTTCTTCAAAAAATAAATAATTCAGTGACAAACAGGTTTGGAAAAAAATTCAATGACAAGAAAAAATTCTGTGAATTCTGCCGGTTCCCAACAATAATGAAGAATGATCTGAAAGGGGGATTCATTTTTGAGGATGGTATGACAGTCTCATTATTTCCATGGTCAAAGAGTAGCTTGATCAACTAAGGCAATTATAAATGTTGGCACTGTTTTCATCAGTGTTCCACAACTTTTCTTGGCCAGTGGACCAGCAAAGTTCCATGAAATTTTTTGCAGACCTGCACAAAAAAAAATTCTGCAGGCTGGCAAAGTTTTATAAAATGTTTGCACACTCAAAACAGTTTTGTCTGAAATACTTTATGGAAGGTATTGAGAAATTTTCTGCTTTTTTCAGACATCAAGTTATGAACCAATGAAGCAGTTAAACAAATGGAATATCTTCAAAAAATTAGAATGATAGGCTTCATGAGAGATTTCTCAGAATGAATATTTAAAATAATTTATTTCATAAGGTGAAAATTTGTTGGAAGTGTAATTCAGAGAAAAGCCAACTTGTATATTTTATGATATAATTTTAACTGCAATTGTCTTGAAAAAACTTGAGATAAATAAGATTCTGTAACGTCCTTCATTGATACTTTTGATGAATTTATTATGCTTGAGAACTGCAATTTTTTTATTGCCTGAAAAAAATGCATTGCAATTCGCGGAGACTGCGTATTGAACACCACTGAAAGTGTTGCCAAATTACATTGGGCTATATGCGAATAAAAATAAATAAAAAACTGGAATTGTTGAAACTCCATTTGGATCTATTTCAAAAATTCTCAAAACTTATGAACCATCCCTCGTAAACCTACTTACTGTACTGCTGTATATACACACAGACGCGATTATCGTTTCGGAAAAAAGTTGGTAATCTCAGTTGATTCACGAAATGACCCGACCCGGCGACCTCGTGTCACCGCGGCTTCCGAAAAAAAAAAGAGGTCGCGCAAGATGTACATCGTTGTGTTATCATTCAATCGTTATCCGAGAATTCCGAACTAGGTTTCAGGTCACGCGTACATTGGAAGTCATCAAACAGCCATGAAAAGAGCCGGAGCTCGAATGCATTAAAAGTTTATTGGTTTTGCACTGCCATAAGGTACGTAGATGGTAAACTTGGTACGGCAAGTTTGTTACTCTAGAAGTTTTTGGTAAAAAAAAAAAAGTGGTAATTTTTCGGTACGAACAATTTTTTTTCGTTATCCAAGGACGAACTTGGTATAAACAATCAAGCAATTTTGTTTGTACCAATTCAGCATGTACCCCAAAAATAAGAGACTCAAAGTACTAAATTTACCATACTTAACATGTAGCAACATTTTTGTTATAAAAAAAACTGCATCAAAGTCACTGCATACGAAATAATGCTTGTACTCCAGCACTACAGTAAAAAAAAAATTCGAGCCCAGGAATTTGATCAAATCCACTTCTTGATTCAATCTGAATTTTCAAACTTTCAGCTAAAAATTGGAGCTGATTCGGCATTCATTCCAATAATTTTTATGTGAACTGGAAAGAAATCACCAGAACATTTTTTGTAGAAAACAATTTTGCTTGCCATTTTTTGCACTCTCGCCATTTTTTCAAAAATTAAAATTCATTTCTTCAAACCCAGGTCTTTTGTCTGCTGATCCAGGGCATTTTAAAGCATAATAACATTTGAAAATCAAAAAATATCAAATAATCACATCAGCAACCGTGAACAAAGTTTTTTTTCCGGGAAGATGGAGATTTTCTTCCAGAAGTAATGTCAGATCAATTGATTCATTCACCCTGAAGATTGCTTACTGCATTTATATTGTGTCCAGTTTTTCACTAGAAATTTTTTGATGAAAAATCTGCTGTGATTCAAATGATTGTCAAAATGGAAACTAAAAAATTCGACGAACACTCGATTGGTGACTTGGTGGTCGTTCTGACAATATCAGGGTAATTCGTATACAGTATACATGGACGATCCTTTTTCAGCATTGCATTTATCCACGGCGTTTTCTGTCGTCAGCAGCTATATATGTATATATATATACAGTGAGACCCCAAGATGCAGATAATTGGTGCATCAAGAGTGTTCCTAAGTCAAAATGTCCCCACCTTGAGTCTCATTTTCCCTTAGACTTACATTATTTAATTTTTAATTGGTGTTTTATGTACAAAAAAACTCACAATTCCATGAAAATAAAAATTGTCTCCCAATTTACACTGATTCTGATCAATATATTTCAAAAAAATATGGGCATTTGGGGAATTGAATACTGATACTGTACCTCTGTACAGTACATAGAAATGTTGGCATTCTCTGTAAAAAATAATATTCAAGTGAAAAAGAGAGAATGAAGTCCTTCTCTGTTGGAGATAATTTTTTTTAATTAGCTAAATGGATGGTAAATTGGTGAGAGAAATGTCCAAGAACTTTTCTTACATCAATTTTAGGGTTGGAAATATCCATTTCTTGTAATTTTAAAAATTACAAGAATTGAATTTTCCTGAAAGGTATTTGCAATTTCATCAAAAAATGTCCCTATGTCAAGTCAGTGTCCTCATATTGGGCCTTTTTTATTAATTTTTTATAGGAAAATAAGTGTCCCTATGTCAAATTGTCCACAGGTCAAGGTGTCCGCACAAGGGGGTTTCACTATATATATATATATATTTATATACAGTCTGGACCTTCAAAAACCTTCTCCATGATGAATAAATAATAATAGTAATAACAAGAACAACAAGAATGCCGTTTTAATGACAGAATTTGGCTCGCATTGAATTCCGCCAGGCTGGACCAACTGCGGGCCAGCAACGGAACCGTGGTGTTCCCCAAGAAATCCCTGTTCCGGATGGCGGACTTGATCGACCTGGACGACGACGAGGGGGTCAACGAGGAGTTCAACATCAAGTATGCCGACTTTTATCGCTACGAAGGCTCGCTGACGACGCCGACATGCAACGAACAAGTCGAATGGACCGTTTTCCCCACCACCATCCCGATTTCGGAGCGACAAGTGAGGCTGGCTATATCATCTCTGCTGTACTGCATGATGTGCGGTATCTATATATATGTTGGGAGAGCAGCAGCAGCAGGGGGTCTAGAGAAAGTTCCCGAAAATGAAAACTGATGAAAACGACGATGGGATTGAGTGCGGAAAAACAATCATTGTTCAGGGAAATCCAAGAACAAAATTCCTGCAGTGCTTGACTTACACTCATTAAAGTGGGATGACTCATCCAAGATGTGGATGCAATTAGAGCTTGCTGGACCTTATCAACCCTTCAGACGCAACAAAGTTGGACTTTTTCCATTTACAGATTTCGGGTGCACTCAAGAAAGGTATTTTTTTTAAAACCACATCAGTGTGCAAAGGGCAAAGTTTGGAGAATCCTGGTATCTTCTTCATTTTCCACAGAAAATTTTCACTTGGAAATGACAAAATTAAATCTTCATGGCTCCCTTCCCCCCCCTGCTTTTATGTTGTTCCCCCATTCAAAGATTGAATTTAAGCTTGAAAGCCAGGAGCCCAGGTTAGAGGTCAATACAGAAAAAAATCAACTTAAGACTTTTGGAGCATTTATTTATCCCTGGATAAAATCTGACTTTGCCCTTCCACACCTGGCAGGGATTGCATAACCTTGTGCAAAAATTTAATGCAAGCCCACAGGGAAAAAGTCCAACTTTGCCCCAGGATGGAAAGGAGGCTGCTGCCATCCAAGGGTTAATTGACCCTATATGCCAGAACATCTGCATAAATGTCAGAACTAATTTTCTTATACAGACTTCAATGGGGATTTTCTTTAATTGGTTCTCCTGCTGTACAGCAATGATTGAGAAAAAAGTCTGCCAAAAATTGAATAAAATTTTCTTCAACTTCAAGAAAGAAAATAAATGTGCAAAAGAAAACCACACAGGAGTGACAGGGTACAGTATCTGATCTTTTGGCGTCACAAGGAGCTCAACAAGAATCAAAGAACAGTTTTTGATATGCTGAGCATGCATGATCAAAAAACTGAAAAATAAGCACAAACTTAGCCAGTTGTTGATTATGACTTAGGTTGATTTTACAATTTTGCTTGACCCCTTGTCAAACAAAAGCAAGATGATGTTGAACACAGCCTTTTATCCTCCCCCACAACTGTTTTGTATATGAATTGGACTCCCAAGTGGCTTATGCTCGCAGCATCAGGAAGGAATTAGTGTGCATATGGGAGTTGAGATCTATAACTAATAAGTCTGCCCTTTCTGTGCACAGTGTACAACTTCTCTTTGCCTGTATTGACTTGAGTACCTCATGCACTTTACCCATCTGCAAATCATGGAAAATTTCATGCTTTGAGGTGGTGAATCCCAAATTGGAACATACTTCTGCTGTTAGTTTCAGCATGCAGGAAAAAGGAAAAGATTTTCATTATCACTTACAAGAGCAACAATCCTTCAGATGTTTGTTCAGGTAAAAAAAATCAGCAAACCAGGTCCAACTAATCATCATCTCGCTCTGTGTGCATAGAAGTGCCTGGCTCATACATGAGCAAGAAGAAAAAGCATTCCTGGGGACGGGAATATGTGCGCACAGGAGTGCATGTAATCGTATGCATTTATGCAACATGTCACACCTGCGTCGCTGGGTTAGGGAAGCTCGTTTGTCTATGATTTCCATTCTTGGAATAGGAAGAAGAATCGATTTGAATAATTCGAACGGATACTTACTCAATTCTGCAGATGGGGATATTCAGGAAGCTACTTGACCATAAGGGATACACGCTCAACGACAATTACCGTCCAGTTTTCCCACTCGGAGGTCGCTTGCTACGCAAATACTCCGCCAACGCATCAAACGACGAGTCCTCACGGGAGTCGAATCCGAATCGTCTCAACACGGTGCTCGCTGATTTCGTCAGTCATGATCACGAACACGACCACGACATCTTTCATCCGAAAGATCATTACGCCAGGCCAGACATTAAAGAGATCCTGGACGAGGAAGTCGAAGATGCGGAAGAGACCAACTTGGACTCGGCTTCGGTGCTTCGCGAAAGACTGCAGGATTGTCAACGGATGCGAATGGCGCTTCTGAAGAACTCAGCATCCTACGACTTCAACGTGATCACCATGCTGTTCCCCATATTTTTCGTAGTGTTCGGGAGATTATTCCCCATTGTGTAGATTGTGTTCGATCAAAATTCCTCCAGGGCATCTTCCTCGTGATTTCATCACAAAGCGACGGATAGAACAATACGAAACTCGGTGCTCTTCTCAGTGAATACGTAAATGAAATACATGGCGCTTTTGTGGTAAGAAAAAGAAAAGATGTGTATCCTTAATGTACTGCACGCAAAAATCCACCCAGTTCGAACACGCATAAGCATGTGGTGTTCGAATGCATCACAAAACAGTGACTGCACTTAACACCGTAATTATTTCAAACGTTGACTCGCTTACACGTGAATAATACAGTATTAACTTTCTTCTTTCCACAGTGTGGCGTGCTGACTGAAAAAAAAAACTTGTTTCATGATGCCCGATAGAATTCTAGGCAGGTTTTTAGTGAGACGTATCACGAAGTTCCTATTGTGGATTGATCGTGTGGTAGGAAAAGCCTACGTTCATGCGTGCATGCATCCAGTTCACCTTAACACCACTTCTTCAGAATGACGCAAGAATCTCTCAGAATTCAGGGTGGAATAGTCTTTAATTCACGTTGAAGTCACACCTACACTTACAGTGGTGATCGCGAAATACTATCACAGATTCTCTAAAGCAACTTTTACGGTCGCAAAATCAAGGCAAATCGTAAAATACGGACCCGGGGTAAAATGTTCAGAATACTGTAAAGTACAGTACTTCTTTTGATCATGCATAAAGTTCAGTATTTCACCTCACCAGGCTTGCAATGATTCCGTCAGCGCAAAATTTCCTTCAACAGGAAGAAATGCTTAGGGAAGAATTACACTTGAACAAACAGTACTTCAATTGGATCTTCGCTTCAAGTTCTTTAAATCGCCCGACTTACTCCACCCAATTATTCCGATTCAGGTACTCCGTGCAAGCAAATTTGACAAGGTTGAATTCCAAAAACACGACAAAATTGACGAGCTTTAACTCCGAAGTCACGGCAAAATTACAAACTTGTGATGTGTCAGAAAAATGACTGAGACTGAACGACCAAGAAACAGGATTCAAACGCGCGACGCGGCAAACGCAATTTAAGAAATTGGAAAATATTGAAAATAAAACTTTGGAAAAGTTGAAATCACATCTGTTTCCGGAATTTCAGAGCTGAAGGAAGCGCAGATCCAAACAACAACAAAAAATATTAGCGCAAATTCAACTCAATCAAGAAATTAAAACTCGAGTCAAAATAATCACCGCAAAAAACCGAAGTCACAATCTGCACCACAGTGCTTATGGTTGAAGAAATTTGCAAACTTCGCCGCATCACAAGGCTGACATACTGTACTCCCTTTTTTGTCATTGAAATTTCCAATACAATAAACCCCATTAGCAACATTCTTTGGTGGAAACTTTTTGCAAGGGATATACAACCTAGAAACAGGCAAGGCACGCAAAGGGAAAATAGGAATGCCTCATTGCACTGACATACTGCCCCCAAAATGCCGCGGTCATCAAGCATTGCGCACATTGGTTCACATCAGTGTTGTCCAGTGTCTCATACAGAATTACAGATTAATTTTCATCAATAACTGGGTTTTCAAGGAAATAATACGCATGTTTCCTTCAATTTTGTTGGATACATTATCAGCATCCAGCTTCAAATAGATAGCATTTCAAAATTTCAATTCTAAAACTATTTTGAGGGTGCACACCCTTCAAATGAAGAAAATCTGAATAATTTCTTGACTTTACAGTAGACTTGAAACAAAGCTTTAGGTGATAAAAAATTTAATTTTAATACTTTAGGTAGCTAAAGTTAGACCTCTTCAACTTGAACCTCCTTCAGTCAAAAATCTCCCAAACTTGAATTGCTTTCCAGTCCCTGTCTGAAGTCCCTTTAAAACAATGTAACCTGAACCTTAGTAGCTCAAAATTCTGCCACTGTGAAACCTCCTTAACACAGAAATTTTGAAGACAAGGAAGGACAGGAAATTTCAACAGTAATGCTCTTGAAAAGGAAAAAAAGCAACTTCAATTCATCCACAAAGACAAAACCCTGACTTGAGGTTCTGCATCCTCTAGACCAGTGTTTCCCAACCTTTTTGGGCCTGCAGACCAGCAAATTTCACAAACATTTTCTGCAGACAGGCAGTTTCAAAAAACTTTTACAAACTCAAAAAAGTTTAGTTTGAAAGGCTTCATGGCAGGTATTTAACAAGTTTCTGATTTTTTTCCAAAAATTAGGAACCAATGAAGTAGCTATAGTGAAATTTCCAATGATTAGAAAGGCAGGCTTTAAGAAAGGTTTCTCAAATTGAAAGTAAAATGAATAATTTATTTCAGCTGGTGAAAATTTGTCTGAAGAGTAGTTGGGGGGAAAAGCCAACTCATCAGAAAATTTCAACTGCTGTTGTCTTTCTTACATTTCAGATGAAGATAACAGACTTCATTAATACTTTTGTTGATTTATTATGTCGCAGAAAATTTCCCAGACCAGAAAAAAAAAAAAACTTCCAACGACCAGCGCTGGTCCATGGGCCATGGGTTGGAGAACACTGCTGTAGACTCATTTATGATGTTTTTCCTTGTGGTTAGCCTTTTCTATGCAGAGGGAATAATTGAGGACATGTTTCGAACACACTACATACAGTTGCCACACAAATTTCAATCTCAATAATTTCTTTGAAAATTTAAAGGAAGCATTTCCAGACCTAGTTGTTAACCTTCCCAACTCTAATTCCGATTTTTTTTTTCGTTCGTCCCTTCAAATTAGAGAGGTCTACCTGTACTATTTTGGGTCCAAATTATCTCAGGTTCTGCATGGTACACAGTTGAATTTAAACATTTCCTGATGAGATACTGGAATCACCCAAGCATCCTCTAGACCAGTGTTTCCCAACCTTTTTGGGCCTGCAGACCAGCAAATTTCACAAACATTTTCTGCAGACAGGCAGTTTCAAAAAACTTTTACAAACTCAAAAAAGTTTAGTTTGAAAGGCTCCATGGCAGGTATTTAACAAGTTTCTGATTTTTTTCCAAAAATTAGGAACCAATGAAGTAGCTATAGTGAAATTTCCAATAATTAGAAAGGCAGGCTTTAAGAAAGGTTTCTCAAATTGAAAGTAAAATTAATAATTTATTTCAGCTGGTGAAAATTTGTCTGAAGTGTAGTTTGGGGAAAAGCCACCTCACCAGAAAATTTCAACTGCCGTTGTCTTTCTTACATTTCAGATGAAGATAACAGACTTCATTAATACTTCTGTTGATTTATTATGTTGCAGAAAATTTCCCACAGACCAGAAAAAAAAAAAAAAACTTCAAAAGACCAGCGCTGGTCCATGGGCCATGGGTTGGAGAACACTGCTGTAGACTCATTTATGATGTTTTTCCTCGTGGTTAGCCTTTTCTATGCAGTACGAATAATTGAGGACATGTTTCGAACACACTACATACAGTTGCCACACAAATTTCAATCTCAATAATTTCTTTGAAAATTTAAAGGAAGCATTTCCAGACCTAGTTGTTAACCTTCCTAACTCTAATTCCGAAAAAAAAAGCAAGCAGGGAAGTTTAATCTCTCCAGATGGACATGATAAAACCCAGGTTTAATAGAGTCCAAGACGTACCATGTGTCAACTTAAATTTGTAAAGGACTACTCTATGACCTTAGTGGGTCGTATGCTTCTCTCTCGACCCAATGCAGGCAGCACGTGGTGTCCACTTCTGGATTGGGACATTATAGAGGATGGCCCTTGAAGGTCTTTCACAAGTGCATAGGGTGAACAGCGCAACACAAGAAAAAAAGAAAAACGAGAGAGAGAGAGGGAGAAAATCATCAGAAAGTCTCCGACATGAGCAAGACAACCAAGGATGACCAGCCCGTAAACGGCCTGCAGCCCTTCCCCTTGCCCGTCGTGTCGTCGTACTGCTCCCACACATATCCAGTCCTCTTGTACTCACTGAACACGTTTGCAATCACGTTCCGCCGCAATTCGTCGTAAAGCTCAGCCGCGCGTTCCTTGTACTCGCCTTCGATCCGGGCATAAGTCCTCAACGCACGCACAACGAGGAAATTCATGTTGATCCAGATCGGGCCTCGCCAGTAAGGCGGGTCGTGCTCTGTGTTCCGCTGCATGTAGAGCGGCGACGTCTTGGCCAGAGAACGCAGCCCGAACGGGGTCCACAGCAGCGATTCGTTGCGCAGGTCCTGCAACAGTTTGCCGAGGCGCGAGGAGTCTGGCTGCAGCAGCTCCAGCATGAGCGGGAACAGGCTAACGTAGCCAAAGGAGGAGTCCACGAACCCAGGTTTGGGTTCCGAACGCGTGACGCGGACGAGTTCGGGCTTGACAGAGGGTTGTCCGGGTTGCGCGGGTTCGCGCTTGAGACTCACGTCCTTGGTGTGGAGTCCAAAGTCAGAATAGGTTCCGGATGCTGGCGACCAATGAAGTGTGTCCAAAAACTGACCGTCTCTCAGGTATTCGTAAGTTGCGCTGAATTTCCTCGCATCTCTGGAGAAAACAATGAAATGGGTTCCAATTGACTTCCGTCCTACCGCGCGAAATTTNGACAACCAAGGATGACCAGCCCGTAAACGGCCTGCAGCCCTTCCCCTTGCCCGTCGTGTCGTCGTACTGCTCCCACACATATCCAGTCCTCTTGTACTCACTGAACACGTTTGCAATCACGTTCCGCCGCAATTCGTCGTAAAGCTCAGCCGCGCGTTCCTTGTACTCGCCTTCGATCCGGGCATAAGTCCTCAACGCACGCACAACGAGGAAATTCATGTTGATCCAGATCGGGCCTCGCCAGTAAGGCGGGTCGTGCTCTGTGTTCCGCTGCATGTAGAGCGGCGACGTCTTGGCCAGAGAACGCAGCCCGAACGGGGTCCACAGCAGCGATTCGTTGCGCAGGTCCTGCAACAGTTTGCCGAGGCGCGAGGAGTCTGGCTGCAGCAGCTCCAGCATGAGCGGGAACAGGCTAACGTAGCCAAAGGAGGAGTCCACGAACCCAGGTTTGGGTTCCGAACGCGTGACGCGGACGAGTTCGGGCTTGACAGAGGGTTGTCCGGGTTGCGCGGGTTCGCGCTTGAGACTCACGTCCTTGGTGTGGAGTCCAAAGTCGGAATAGGTTCCGGATGCTGGCGACCAATGAAGTGTGTCCAATAACTGACCGTCTCTCAGGTATTCGTAAGTTGCGCTGAATTTCCTCGCATCTCTGGAGAAAAAAATGAAATGGGTTCCAATTGACTTCCGTCCTACCGCGCGAAATTTAAAAACTTTATTTTCTTTGCTTCTCTGGGGCAACGGATCGAATGAATAAATCTTTGCAAACTGATAAAAAATTAAGTTTATTATAAAAAAAGATCATGATCTCACGCGGGTCTTGAAATCTTCAGGCAACTTCATGAGAACTCGATCAAGATGATTTTGACAACACATAATTCTCTCGGACAACAATACAAGGAAGAACCTTTGAGGAGTCGTGAATAGGACATTGCTGTTCAACATACGGCCCGCGGGCCGGATCCAGACCTCATAGACTTATCATCTGTGCCGTAGTCCCTTCCCTATACTTCTTAAGATTATCAAAATGATTTTTAAGGTAATCGAAATAAAAATTGAAGCACGAATTTAAAAAATTCAAAATGTCGCTCCACCCTTCAAAATAATCTTCGAAGTTACGCTTGTGATTCAATGCATAACACTCAAATAAATTTTAAACTTATAATTCAATGGAGAAAATTAGGAACCTTGAAAATTATGGCCCTCAAAGACTATCCATCTATACAATTTGGCCGTCAGCAACACCTGAGTTGGGCAGCATTACAGTACTAATCTAGAGCAGTGTTCCTCAACCCGTGATCCGCGGACCGGCGCCAGTCTGCAGAAATTTTCAGTTTGATGAAAAATGAAAGTGTCCTTTTCTACAGCTAACAATTGACAAATTTTCACCTGTTAAATATTAATTATTTCAATTTTTCATTCCGAGAAACTTTGCTTCGAGCCCACCTTTCCAATTTTCTGAAGGCATTCCACTACAGCTGCTTCATTGGTTCTGACTTAATTTTTGCAAAGAAGCGGAACTTTTCAAGTACCTGCAAAAAATCTTTCAAGCAAACTTTTTTGCGTCCACAAAAATTTAATACAACTTCGCTCGTTGCAGAATAATTTTTTTCGTTTGCTGATTCCACAACAAATTTATGTAAATTTGTCAATCTGAGGGCCCAAAAAGGTTCAGTAACACTTGTCTAAAGTCTAGAACATTCAATAATAAATGCAAAAAAGTTTACGAAGTGTCACCGAATCGACTGATGAAAACCATGATGGATTCTCACCTGCCGATGAACGAGGCGATGTCCCCAAGCAGCTTCGACGCCAGAGCCATCCAACAACGCAAATCCAGATGACGCTCCAACTCAGTGGGATGCGAAGCACGTGGATAGTCATCCAAACCGGACGTTAAAGTTTTCGGATTCAATTCTCGTTTCGTTTCTCCGTCCCGGCCACGCCAACGATACGTCCCAGGTAAATCACCAGTCTGATAGCGGAAAATTTCAGACATTATAATGGAGGGAAAAAATGCCAGTAAGCTTGAAAAATGTTGAAATGAATTCATTTTCAGACTGGGATAATGGCAAGCTGCTACCTAACCCATTACAAAACATCGCGGCTCAAGAAATATTGACGACAAGATTACGCCTGGCAACGTTATTCCAGCCACCCCTGTACTTCCCTGGGTGATTCCATTATTCCATTTTTCTCTGACAATATTCCAGTTCAGGCGGATGAGGTTTTCCAGTTCTTAAGAAACGACATTTTTTCCATTACCAATGTACGAGATTTATCCGTTTTTTTTTCAAACAATAATTTTTTGACAACTTCAAGGATTTTTTAGCACTAGCAGTACCATTTTTTTCATTACCAATGTAGGAGATTTATCTGTTTTTTTTTTCCAAACAATAATTTTTTGACGACTTCCAGGATTTTTTAGCAGTACGATGTTGGCCCAGTTGTGCAGAGAGGGGAGATTTTTTTCATGAGTTAATTCCAGGAGAGGCTTGACAACAATAATCCGGTGTTGAAATTATGACATTATTCCACCACCCGAAGTGCAGTACACAAAAGGCTTTCTTGAATTAACGGTTCGGTAATTTCAACACCCAATGGAATCTTAATCTGTTACAAGACAGTGATGGTTTTTTTCTTCTTCGAAAAATAATCAATAGTAGACTGGAATGCTCACCTGAGTGGTATTGAACCAATAGTACCACGCAACGAGCCTCGGCCAGAGTTTGTCGAAGTACATCAACTCATCAACTTCGGCAGAGTCCGAGTCTTGCACAGTTTGCAGCAAGTAGTGTAGCGATAAAACCAACGTGGGGGGATTAGCATTCGTATTTCTTTGTACGATGAACTCCTTCGGCACTCGTTGCGAGGCTTCCAATCCGAGGATCATCTCCCTCGGAATCCAGCCTTCCACGTTGAGCAAATCCAACCAATGGGCAATTATCTCCTGCACACACAAAAAAAAGCGTAATTTACCGTATGTACTCGAGTACCACGCGCACTTTTCATCTCGAAATTGAGCGGGAAAATGGATGGTGCACTTCACACTCGGGGATACAATTTCTACTGTTTTTTTTTTTTTTTAGATCTTCACGTGCGCATCATACTTCATTTCAATGAGCAATTTTCGACCAACTCTGACAGAAAAAGCTCGTTCAATCAAATTGAATTCAGGCTGAATTTAAGTCCGAACTCCAATTCTGGTGTCTCTTATTATTGAAATATAGCAGTTTATCAGTCACGAAAAAGCGGGGTCATGGGATTTTATCAAGATTATAGGATGAAATAATCTGAGTGCGCGTCTTACTTGAGGGCGCGTAGTAGTCGGGTAAATACGAGTGATGGTTCATACCTTTTGCGACTTCGTGAAATTGATCCCAAGGAGTTTCAAAAATCGAACAAAAATCACTTGCATAGCCCCATAATTTGGCGACACTTTCACACTTCGGTGGTGTTGAAGATAATCTCCGTCGACTTCAATGCATTTTTAATGCGATAAATCCAATGATCAAAACAGCGCCAAAAATCGAATTCAGTTAGTTGATTAAGCTGCTTTTTGAGGGCGGAACTTCCGCTGTCCCCGTCCTCAAAATCAACTAATTTCAGGTATTTTTCTTCACTGTTGGGAACAGCCAGAAGTCACATGCTTCATCAACTAACAGAATTCGATTTTCGGCAATGTTTTAATGGTTGGATTTATAGCATAAACAAATGCATTGACATCGGCGGAGAGTATGTTGAACAGCAGTGAAGTGGTGCCAAATGATGGACCTATGCGAGTAAAAAAAAAATTTAATTTTGGAACTCTGTTGGATCTACAGCATTTCAAAAAGTTTCAAAACTTATGAACCAACCGTCATAATGTAATTCAATTTGAACGGATTCAGCGTCTGAGCATAAAAAAAAAGACATTCGAAGTAATTTCTTGGCAAAACTTCCCAGTATACAAACTTGCATCCAGCATCGCGTGACTGGAAACACTGCTCACCTTAGAAATCGCTCGATCCCACTGAGCTATCAGGAGGTTATGGAAGCCCTCATCCCAAAGGAATCCTCGGGGAAAGAAACTCCTCGACGGCACAGCGGTGTACAATCCCGCGGGCCAATAAAACACAGGTGCTTTGTTGTACGGACTCTGAACGAGCGATGAGCCATAAAAGTATCCTATACCTCCAAGCATATTGCTAAGCGCAGCCTTTGCAAATGTCACTTGCTCCGGTGGATAGCCCTTCTCTTCCAAATGGAACTTTTCTTCGAACCTGAAGCACATAATCAGAACACCGGGAAATGATTAAATGGTTACACGAAAGCGTCAGGAGGAAACTACTGTATTGAAAAATACGCAGGGTACGTATAAAGAATACAGTATCAACACTGTACCCTGAAGAAAATAAAATTCAACATGGTCGGACTTTCAAAAAAGCCCTTTCAAATAATGTAACCTGAAGCTCCCCAGCTCAAAATGTTCTAACTGTGAACCCCCAAAACTCGAAAATGTCTGAAGACAAGGGTGGACACGAAATTCAAATGAGAATTTTTTGGAAAGAAAAATGAGCATGTAATTGGTCAATAAAATTCTGGCCTCAGGTTCTGTATCCTATAGACTCATCCATACCGCAGTTTCGGGTGATTAGCCTTTTTATGCAGTGGGAATACCTAGGGAAATACTTCTGGACACACTACACATATTTGTAGCACAAATTTCATTCCCAATTACTCATTTAAAATTTACAGCAATGATTTCCAGATTCAAATTTGACGTGAAGAGTAATTTCAAACCCAAACCAAATACCACAAATGAAGCAGCAACCGATTTTTTGACACACCAATAACTAAAAAATAACGAAGAGGAACTCTTCATGACGATCTCGTCAACACAAACAATCTCCGGGCAAGAAACTTCTTTCTGGCCATCGCAGACTCGATGTATCAGTGCATACGCGGAACAGTAACGATTCATCTTCACTAGAGTGATAAGGATTTACGTTTTGGTTCCTGAATGTTGAAATATTCAAGCATTCATGAAAGATATTTAAAGCAAGTCAAATTTTGCTTCCTCGTAATTTTCAGTCAAAGGACCCAAAAAAAAAGTACTGTGCTGTACTCACTTCTTGTTGAACTTCTCCCTCCAGGCTTTCAATGCGGAGTCATACGCAGCTCCAGAAAAAGGAACTGCAATCTCACTCCGTCCTTCAGAGCGGAAAACTACATCTACTTCAAAAGGCGTAACGCCAATGAGCTGAAATAAAAAACAATACTGTATAAGCATCACGTCATTTTTTCTCACTTTCTTAAAAAAGACGTAATAAACGGTGCGCAAAAAGATATAAAGCGGAGGCTATGTTTTAATGTTTGCAGACAAGCGAAGAATAATTTTCGAGAATTTCTGAAAAATACTGGACTTGATTAGAAACATTGACGTCACAAAGCCAAAAATATTTTGTACCTTAACTTAACCTTCCTCTAGAACAGTACTTGCACTATACAGTACTGTATCACGGATCATTTATTCACTTCGGTGTCATATACAATTACTGTACTGAAATTTGACATCTTTTCCTTGTTTTCAAAAACTGTACATGCAGCCCAAATATATTTAAATTCAACCATGATCATCTTTGTGATTTCAACGACATCCACTTGACATCTCGGAAATGTTAAATTTGTATGGTACAGAGGTCTACTACGCGGTTTTCCGTACAACTACATTCTCCTGCGCATTTCGGCTTCGCAAACAGATCCGATTCGGGAAGGTTTTGAGTCACGTAAACACGCATTTTTTTGTCGGGGAAAGAAAGACGAATGATAGAAAATTGCAATTCGTGATATTCCGGGCCTTAAAATTGATACTTGAATGAATGGACAGGATGCTGAACCGAGAGACGAGGGTTCATTTGCTCAATCAAGTCTTTTATTTCCTTTCAAAGCAAACCAAGCTATATTTTTGTCGCTTTTCTCTTTCCTGAAAATAATAGTCGAAAGGCCTTGAAAAAATTCTAGTTTTCGAGGTTGAAGGAAAAAGCATTAGAGTTAAGGAGGGGTTTTAATGCATTCTTTCTAAAGGACTTGACAAAAATCGGAATTCGACCTCCAAAAATTCGAGTTATCGAGGTTCAACTGTTTCAGCGCCCTTGTTTTTTTTTTTTTTTTTTAATCAGTTTTCACCTGGTAAGAAACAAAATCAGGGGAAGCAGCTCCAGTCTCTTGCGCAGACATCACGCTTCCCGGCAAACCGATGACCCCGGGCTGAACCTGTCGCAACGAGGATCGGATCAACTGGGTAATTGTTTGCGGGCCTCGGGAACGCGTCGTCAGCGAGAATTCCGGCCCGATGTCGTCCCCGCGGGGGTAAATGTCGAGTCGGAAGTCACCAACGTTCATTATCCAACCCGAGTGGCCTTCTTCAAAGGAGCCGTAGAAGAAAACGTACACTTGCGACGCGTTCCTCACTGCGAAATCCTGAAGAAAAACATTTTTTGGTGGTACAGTAATAAGTGAATGGATCGACAACCACACCCCCGAAGAGCAACGTTTCTACTTTGGCTTCAAAAATTACGGGTCAACTGCACGAAGTGCCAAAAAATTAGCCGCATCAAACTTAGAACCTTCCTTGAATCAAGTATTTATTTTAAACAAAATAAATATTGCTGTGGGCGCAAGTTCAAGAGGTTCTACTTAATCATGGCAATATTTCTTAAATGATTTCCAAAAAAAAAACAAAAAACCCTTCTTGACCGAAAGCATTAAACTTGTTTAGAACTTAATGTCATCAGATATTTGGTGTGTCCCAGAACAGCTTCATAATACAGTACTAGAAACTTGTGCATCAAGATTTTGCATTGGACATAACTCATTTTTTTCTGGTCATCTGCCTTTTTAACCATCCCAGTTTACTCAAACTGTCTGCACAAAATCATTCACTGTCCGTGCACCTACAAATTATTGGAAAAAAGAGTGCCCAGGAACTATTTGATTGGTTTGATTGAGTTGCAGGGAAATATAGTGTCATCAAATATTTTGGGTATCCCAAAACATGTCTAGAATAGCCTCTCTCTTTTGTGCATTTGACAGCTATACTTAATGCACCATCTGTACATACCCAATTCTATAAAGGAGTGTCTGAACCTTGTTTGATTTGATTGTTAGGGGAAGTATAGCATCAACACTTAATCTTTTGTAAGAGAAGTCTGAGTTACTCATGCGTCCTGGCCAAAAGAAGGAAATCTTCTCTTCTCATCTGTTCATCTGATCAAAGTTAATACTGTACTAAGTATAAGTAAATTGCTTTATGACTAAGGAGACGTCCACAGCAGAAAAGAATTTCATTTTGTCTAATTGAACAGCTTATGAATGACATAAGATAACTATAATTATACAAATTTTATTTTTCAAGAGGAATTTATGCATTTGAGACCCTCTGGCTATAAGAACAAAAATCTCCTATTCCTAATCTGTTTATTCTTTACCGGAATTTGAAGTAAACAAATTTAGAACCAATGGTTCGCCAGAGGTGGAAAAGTAATTTCCTTCAACATAAAAGAAAGCATAAGTCGACAAAATAGGAGAACAATAGCCATTTAAAAGCACGGGTGAATGTTGAATGTTTAGTATGATGTAACAAATGACAAATTTCAACTTACCGATTGCTCAACTCGAATTCTCACAGTCCATTCGGTTCCATACACCGAGGCTTGGGGATTCTTCACGAAAGACGTCGTCAACTTGACTTCCCCATCTATCAACTCCTGAACACCAAAGTTGGTGCCATCGTGCTCCAACCATCCGTACTTCTTCAGATTATCACCTTGTTCACACCAATGCCTTAAAAGTAGAATATTCGAATATCATTTCTCTTCAAGAACACTTTCAAGGGATTAGTGGAGTCGAAAAATAGGAACATACCTCAGCGGTAAATCACCTTGGCGATATTGACTAGGAGATATCCACATGAGACCAAATATTGGAGATCCCGGGGAACGGGTTTTCATTCCAAAATAATTCCCTGTCAAATTCGATAACGCAGAATCAATTAAAACGTCAGGTAAAGCGAATAACGATAAGACTGCAAGCAGATCTGACCAAGGAATAACTATCTTTTCTAGTCACTCACCCGGTCTGTAAGTGCCCCACAGACGCTCACGATCATTCATCATTTCTTGAGTGACGATCTGAAAAGGATGGAATGAATAAAATATAAAAGTTTGTCGAAATTTCCAATGCGAGCGAATCGAGCTGCATTTCGCTCACAGAACAATGCTGCTCAGGAACATCGGATATCAAGGAAACTTTCAAGGCGGACAAAGAAAATGACTACATATGAACTCAAACTCTGGGGTTTTCAACAGCAAATAACACGTGGAAACGGGAACCAATGAAAACGAAAATCAACCAATGAAAACAAAATTCTCCACAGCGAAAACTGGTTTCACCAACGTGAGGAAAAATCCGCTGTGGTTGCTGAAGACAGGAAAAATTAGCGTGAAAATTTAAAAATTCAGAAGTGATGAAGAAAATGTTGTACGCATAAAATGCTGACGAAATGACGAATATCTCATGAAATCAGCAAATTATTAGGCGAAAAATGAACTTACTTTCAATGACTCTCTTCCTAATTTTCGCCAAATTTCAACACAAAATGAAACTCGCTCGAACGGGTGAATGTTTTCTTTTCTTTCCTGACTGATGAATATGCAATGCAAATTCTCGTGAAAGAGTTCGAACTTCTAGGTTCATAAACTGAGGAAAACCGCCTCGTGGTAAAAAAATAAATGGTTCTTTCCACTTTATCGAGGGATGTTTCCATTTCCAATGTCAAACAGTATTCTTCTACTGCAAAAAAGCATCGCTAAACTTCGGAAAATTGTTGCTGGGCAAAATATACAACAGATGCGATATTTACATCAGATCAGGGAACAACTCTTTCCTCTAAGTAACAGTGAAGATAAGATTCTCTTTACAACGAAATTCAGGAGACCATAAAAAATTAGCTGAAGAGAGAATTTCGTCATAGAGAAAATAAACTGATACAGGTAGACTCTCTCAACAGCGATTTTACCTGTAACGATTTTCTCAGTACATAACGAATTTTTTGGGTCCCATAGGCGTCTCCACCCATAAAACTAACGTACTCTACAACAAAATTTAGGAGACCAGAAAATATTGGCTGAGGAGAGAATTTCTATGCAGAGAACCTCCATAAAATGGGTAGATACTCTTATGGGACCACAAAAACAAAATCGCTATATCGTAGAGGGAAAATCGTTCTCGAGGGCGTCTACCTATTTCAGTTCATTTCCGGCCATCTTCAGTGATTCAGATTGATTCAGTCGACACCTGCCTAAGGTTCTAAGAAGGAACGTTCCACGTTTCAATAAAGAGCAACCCGAATTTATTTCTACAGCAAAACCCTCCTGACCACGCAAGAACTTCAGTTCTACACAATCAATGAGAGAACATTTCGGAGAAAAAAAATTTGCGACCAGGACCTTCTAACGCGCAAGAACACCACGGACCTTTTCAGAGTCGAATGGTGTGTTGACCCTCGTTTCAAGGTAACCCTGCCACGTGAAATAGGCGACGACGGCGATCAAGACAACGCCTACGCTGACGCCCACCTTCTCCACCGACCGCCGCGACTCGTGACGCGGAACGTCATCGTCTTCGTAGCCCCGAATGCGGACGCGCGGCTTTTTCGGCGACGGCGCCGTCGACGAACTGTCGCCGCCACTGCCGCTCGTCCCGTTCGCACTCGAGTTCCTTTTGCTGCGTCCCATGACCTCGTTTATCGCTTCGTCACGGGACGCTAGTATTTTTTTTCTTCTGCCTCGACCGAACGAGGATAATGTACCGAAAGTCGCGGTCACTTCCTCACATCAATCACGGAGAATCATCTAAAAATCAATAAGAAATACATGAACCAACGCAACCTGACAAGATAATCAACACTTTCAAAAATTTCAGTATCAATAAAAAGTAGCCCACAAGAGAAATGTCGAACTTGAAAGGAAACAAACAATTCATTTCCTCTAACAGCCGAAAACACGAGAATTATGAGGTAGATACCGTACCTTTTCTCTCGACAACCAGATTTCCGAACATCGAAATGAGCATAGCCTGAGCATCACAAAGAAAATGGAGAGGAGCAATTTCAAAAGATATTTTCGGAAAATAACAGCCACGAATTCTTCCGACACAGAACTCAAGCATTGAAATCGAAAAATGGATTCCCGATCGCAGCGAGGGTGTAATTACTTTTATCCGAAGAGTCAACGGCGAGCTCCGAAACATAAATTTTACGGAATACGCATTTGTCATCGGTCCTAGGGCGACCATCGATCGGCCTCGCCAACATACCACAAATGAATGAATCACTAGTTCCGTTTTCCCGATCGATGTTCGTGTGGCAGATCAATGCACTTCCCGCAGCGAAATCCTGCAAAGAAAAATACAAACAAATTGCAAAAGAGTCTTCTTCGAATAGAAACGTACAGCTTTTCACAACAGTAAAATCCGCGTTTTTTGTTTGCCGGAACAATATTATCGGTATTTGCAATTTTATTATTACTTCACTGACTGACCAGAAAACCTTCGAAAATCCACGTTAAAGTATTCTAAAGACCAAAAAGACAACAGATTCCTAGTCATACCTTAACTGTGCAGCCCATTGAGCTGAAAGAGAATTTTCCTTGAAAATCTAAAATACACCGATATTTACAGGAACCGAACAGTCCACAACTTCGTCACAAACAAAATCCATCATAACACCATGCACAGTATTAAAATTACAAAAGACAAATACAAGCCCTGAAATCTGGTCAAATCAGCAACAAACTCAAGAATGGTGACACCGTATCGAGAAAGAAAGAAAAAAACCGTGCGGATACAGTACCTTCTCAAATTTGCGATTAGATTTCAGTGCTCCGTTAGATCTCAATTCAAGATGATTATCTGCGGCAGACGATGTAAAATTACAGTACAGTAGTGACATATTTAATTTCATACGTCGCACATATTTCAACGCACCATAAAAAATATTTTACACAGGTATTTGAGATGCCATCAAGCAAGTACAGTAAGTCTAATAATCATGTGAATCAAAGTGTTCACAGTGTTTCTTTCTCGATAAATATTACATTGTTAGGAAGAGATATTAATTTATTCTTCCGGTTCGAGTTGAAAGAACTCACAAGGCATTTCCGTGTTCCGGAAATCATTCTTCCGCAAAGAGCATCTTGCGGATCAAGATTGTAAACGCGAAGACTATCTTCTCCACAAGCACTGAGATCCGTAAGCTCAAACTCGCCGACTCTAGGTTTCATTTTCAGCCGGAAGAAGTACTTGTCTTTCTTGTGCGTCAACGACACCAATTGTGCTCTCATTCCTTCAACAACAAAAAGAAAAGAGGACGTCAGTTAATGAGAACGGCATGCAGCAATAGGAAAAGGAGTAACGAACCGGTGAAATTATTCATCATCGGCAGATTCACCGGGTACGCGTCGTTGTCATAAACTAAACCCCATGCTAGTTCCAAAACAAGGGCTTTGTTCGCAGAATTCGATTGTGAGGCCTTGGAGGAGCTCGAATCATCCCCAGATCCTCCACTTGGAATCAAATATCAAAATGAAGCGCTAATATCGCCATCAGGTCTTTTAAATTCATTACTCAGCAATGTCGCGCAGAAAACGATCAGGACGGAAGCCGAACCAATCCGAAACTGGGATCCTTTGGAAGTGTTTGCTCCCCGGGACGACGTGCTTCCCGAAGCCAACCTAAATTTAATACAACATCATATAGTTGAATTTCCAAGAACTCGGACACAAATCAACCAACCCAGAATGAATTTCCTTCGTTGTCCTCAATGAACGGAGTGATGCAATCGGCCGAGGTTAGCACAAGATTCTCCGCCAAAAGCGTTCCCACACACGACACAGGGTCTTTCCGCGAAAGCAAGTCGATCGGAATATAGCTCACCATGCCCATGAAAGGATAAAAATCTTTCGCTGCAAATACAGTACCAGAATAATCAACCTTTCTTTTTCAAAACAAAAGGTCAAGTTCCAATGCATGCTTACTCGGCAGTGTTGCCATGTTACTCTCTTCATGCCCGTCTTCTGCAAGAAACATGGACATGAATGGACTTATTACAGCGATATATGCACGAAACGCAATGGATGGAAGGCACATTGAAAAATGCAAATGATTGAAGTACGGCGAAGAGATTTACTCGGTTGAATCGAGAAAAATAGCCAAATTCGAAATTAACTCACGATGATCGGTGAATGAAGCGATACTCTTTTTGAGCCATGGCAGGAAGTACGAGACCTGCGTGTAAACTCCAGGGTGTCCAGGTCGGCCACAACCGGCACCGAAAGAAACAACCCCACACAAGTATGGCCCAGTTTCCACGGGTTCCACTTCACCTTCTTCCTTTTTGCCAACCACCGGCACTTCCTTGGAACCAAAAGTAAGATTCCATCGGTTCTTCGACAACTGATTTGGACGATCATTTTCCTATCCATTCGACAGGATGCATAAATATAGTACACAAGGACGACACGTGTTCTCCAAGTTCGCCACGATTTAAACACAACAGCGAAAAAAACTACAGTGCTCCGGGCGCGGACATGTTTTATTTTGCGGGGGTTAAAAACGCAAAGGGCCAATTGATAAAAATTCGAAATATTGTACTGTACTGTATTGTACCATCCATTTCATATGGACCCATTTCAAAATACAGTACAGTAATTTGATATACCGTAATAAACATAAGAGTGTAACGCAAAAAATAATCGAAAAATACTACGTGTCACTGAAGTTGTATCTTCATCGTGTTTTCCAAACAGAGAGAAGTGGATCGATATGAGAAGTGACTAGTCCAAAAAGGTTCTCAATCCAAAGTATTGCTTGAAGCAAAACTAACACTCCATCCTAATACTCGAAGTACTGCACAGTATCTAACGAATAAAATTATTTTCCTGTTCGCATTTACTTGAGTACCAAGCGCCCTAAAACGCGCACCCGGGTTTACAGTCAAAATTTTTCAATAAATGGTATCCCCGAGTAAGACGCGCACCGACTCTAAAACTGCAAGATTTCAAATATGAGAGCACACAAATTTGCATTTCGACATAAATTGAACCTGGATTAAACTAATTTTCGATTTCTTCCGTAATAAAATAAGTTTTATCGATAAAATTGGTTCAAATTTCTCATTGGAATCAAGTGATAATGCAAACCTGAACTTCTAAAATCTTTTGAAATATCCATAACCACCTATGAAACTCACTCCATTTTTATATATACAGTACATCAATTTTGAAAAAAAAGAAAATGTGCGTGTGGTACTCACGCAAGTGAATACGGTATCGCTAGGCTAAGGCGCAGCACAATCAAGGGAGAAGCACATGCTTTACCGATTACCTTTGAACTTCGGGATAACTTAGGACGAAAAATAAAATGCTTCAGTGACTGAAAATTTTCTTAGTGCCATGAATTCTTCATAAAAGTTAAGGACATGGGCAATAAATGCACTGTACAGTATTGATTCATGTAGCACTTACAGTGTAAAACGGCTTCAAGCGTTCCACGTTTATGAAAATGACTGGCAGAAAAAAACCCTTCCTAATTCTTTGTCACATTCCAAACTACCATAACTTGATGAAACAGCATCCAGGACCGCTGTTGTTCCTGAATTCTCGGATAATGCTGACGAACAGAAAATTCAACAACAAACATTTACAAAAGCAAGAACAGACTTTCATTACGAAGATATATTGAGCAGAAATAGAGTACTGTAATCTACTACCGACGTTCACTCAAAACGTCAAAACGATTCAATCGAGTAGCCCAGCGCATATCCCAGGTGTAGAGACCAAAGATAGAATTACCGTGCGAAGTTTTCACGTCTATAAAGAAACTAGAGATAACAGCAACAAAAAAAAAACTACAAAAAAGAAATCAATACCCGACCGAAAAGTCTTCTAAAATCCTCTACAAGAGCAAGAAAATGTGCAATAATGCACAGAACATAATAGACTTGAAATACCCTCCTGAAGCATAACAATTGTTTTCCCCTCCAACACACACACACACACACCTCAGTCTCATCGCCATTCGTCAGCACGCGGAAAAAGCGGCGTCCAGATTGCAGCACTCGTTCCGTGCACACCATGGGTCCCCCAGAGTCACCCTGACACGAGTCGATCCCTCCGCGTTCGTGCCCGGCACAAATATGCGATGCAATGATCTCGGCCCCCTCCACGTCCTCGTAATCCGATCGACAACGATCATCCGGAACGATCGGCACATACGCTTTCATGAGAACTTCAGATGCAGCTCCACCTTCCCGCGTGGCTCCCCAGCCCGAAATCGTCGCGTTACCTGCAACGAACATTTTTTCGGAAAATGGAATTTTTTTAAGCGTTGAGACAATCACAGTCAAGCCTTGTTGAGACGTCTCCCAATACACTGCCACCCTCAGAAACCGTCAAATTATTTTGAAAAACAAATCTTCGCGAATACTGTAATACTAATAACATTGGAAACCCCGTTGAAACGCTAACCACCTCAGTCAAAATTATGGACAGCTCATATAGGCTTCTGACAATGATACCCTGCCTACATAATTCGAGTTTCTATCAGAGGTCTCCACTTGAAGAAAAAAACGCAAAAATAGATTACATAATTTACTTCTTGGGAACATTAGCTAGAAAAAATTTACGTATCCCGAGGTTATTTTTATTCTTTTCTAGAAGAATTTTTTTTTTCCATGTTAAACTTGATTTTCACATTACAGTACTGTATTCTCGTTCTTCCTAATAAATGGCCAACCTCTTTAAACCGCTGACCCCGTTAAATCACCGAAAACCTCAGAAACAAGTGGCGGCAGCTTATCGAGGTATGACTGTAGGATACTTTGATACCGTACATTAAGAAAAAAAAAGATAAGGCCAAGCCAGGTCTTACACTTCCTAGGGGCATTCGAGTACACGGACGACCGCAAAAACGCTACTTCATCGATCAGACAATTTTGTATGCCCAACCTTGGATATGCCCGTTGAAATAAAAAAATATTCTAACTGACGCTGACAATTCACAGCACAGGACTAGGACTTCACAGAACTCCACTTAAAAATTGAGTATAAAATGAACGGTATCTACTCAAGAGTCCGTCCAGAAGTGAGAAAAGATCTGTTTCACGGCGCCGATGAATTATTCGACGAAAAACATTCGTCACAGCCTGATTCAGTTTGAAAACAAATAACTGCTTACAAAACCGTCGTATTTTAAGTCCTTGTCCAATAGCCACAATGTAAGATTAGTTAATAGCGAATTTTTTTCATTACCACGAAGACATTTTATTGATCCAAATGGCTTAAAATTGGCATTTTATTAATCCAAACGGCTCCGTTGTAGTAAGATTTTAGTCATTTTACTGTAGTGAATTTAGATGCCACAAGACCAATATTCAGAGACTTTCCGAAAGTATCTTAGACCTAGACATTTCATCAACTAAAAACTAATTTTCAGATAAAGCTACTCATGATGTGAAAACATACCAATAGACTCTGTCTCGAGACGCTTCGGAAGATTGATGGGTCGAACGTTTTCGCTAAACTCAGCCACCCCGTCAAGCAAAATTAGCGCAATATCGTACCAAAGCTTCCATCTGTAAAAAACGAAGTTTGCAAATTCCAATGATAGAAAAAAAGAGCAACAAAATCGCTAAAATTACTTGTCATATTCCTCGTGCAGTACGACGGCTTTGATACCAAAATCCTGCTCCGTGAGCTCTTTCTCATTCATCAAATCGTGTTCTCCCAGTATAACCTTAAAAGAGAGCGAGACATAAAAACGAAAAATTAATGAAGGAGGGTGTCCATGAAAAAAAATAAAATAATAATAAATTGGCGATGATTCCCATTTCTTACCCGGACATTTTCGTATTTCCCATCCATCCACTCAAGGCAATGAGCCGCAGTGATCACCCAAGTTCTAGAAATAAGCGTGCCACCACAGAATAAATGCTGTCGTGGTCCGTTGTTGATTTTCAAAGCGACCTGATAAGGAAATTCACCTGGAGGAAAAGAAGACCAAGTAACGGTTAGCATCGCAGGAACCCAAGCACAACACGGTAATTTTAGACGGTATAGTTGATGAACACGTCAGATTAATGTATTTATTCGAGTACTGTACCACGCGCACTTTTTCCCCCAAAAATTGAGGAGGAAAAATAGGGTCCGCGGGGTACTCGGGGATACATTTTGCTGGTAGAAACCCCAAAACCAGTGACCCTCACACGTGTGAGTAAGTGTGAGCTTTGAGACTTCTTTAAAATAGATCCAACGGAGTTTCAACGATTGACACTTTTTCTCGCATAGCCCAATCATTTGGCAACACTTTCGAGCTGTTAAAAATACTCATTGCCGAATTGAATGCATTTTTTTCATGCAATAAATCCATCAATCAAAATAGTTCCGAAAATCGAGTGCCGGTAGTTGATTAAGCTGCTCTTTTAACGGCGGAAATGAGGCTGTCTCTGGTCCTCAAAATCAATCCCTTTCAGGTACTGAAGTTCTTCGCTGTAGGAAGAAATAACACAACACGATTTTTCGTAACTGTTTTAATCATTGGATTTATCGCATGAAAAATGCATTGATTTCGGAGGAGAGTATGTTAAACAACACTGAAGTGTTCCCAAATGATGAGGCTATGCGAGTAAAAACGAAAATTTGAAATTGTCGGAACTCCGTTGGATGTATTTATAAAAAGCCTCAAATTTTGTGAACTAACCCTCGTACATCTCAACAACAACAAAATGAAGAGGAATTGTGTGACGCCAATTCTCCTCGTCCATGAGAAATAATGGCTCAAGCAATGACAACTTCAGGAATGTACAGTACATTATCAGTTGGAGACACAACAGGAAGTACCTGTATAATGGAAGGGGAAGATATTAATATAATTGTGGAAGCTGCCATATATTGAAAGCACATCCTAACTGCCCCTGCATACAATAAAAAGCAGGAGAAAATATCAATAGGGGAAATTATTCCACACGCAAAATATAATTCACAATTCTTAATTTTCAGCAACAACAACAAAATTGGGATAGGTTTTCAGGCGAATTTTCAACAACAAAAAATGTGGGCTCTTGTCTTACTCGAGGACGCGTGGTACAATATTTGAGTAAATACGATTATATACGCACGATACAAACCTTCAAAATGAAAAAAAAAAATCATCGAAAAAAGAACAAGCAATTGAAAGTGACACGAACCTCGTTTTGCATTCGCACCGCCAACGATTTTTGTTCCATACTTGAGAGTGAAGAGTTGCGCAATGTCCATGATTCCGTGCTCCGCCATCGTGTCGACATTGTTTGGATCCAGCCCTGAAAAGAAACGATAGCTACAATTCCGTTTTCAACGGTATTCACGTGATACCTAGCAATACTTTTCAAATTATAAAAGTTTAAATTAAAACGGCACTACGACGAATACCATGACATCAATGCTGCTGTACACGGCAGAAACTCAACATCGTATCAATTCGACATGTTTTGACAATAAATTCGGGTAAATCGCGCAAGTTTCGCCTTAATTTTCTCTCTTTTTTTTCCATGGAGCAATTATTTCTAAATGAACCGCGATCTCATGAAAAACTGGAGTAAGAAGAAGCTAAAAACTACTTGCAAAATCACCAGACTTGATTATTCAACTGAGTCAAGATTTAAATCATTCACTCAGCGAATATTTTTGCTCGTGCGAAAACAGAATATGCGGAGACAGAGCCCTGAACAGCTCTTGACTAATGACTGGAAAAAATAAATTAAAAATTGCTTCCATTTTTCAGCAGAAACGGTTCCAGGGGTAATTCGAACATTATCAGACTAGCTCTTACAAAATTCGAAGAGACACATTAAAAATTGAGCTCACAACAAATCGTTGAAAACAAAATTTCAAAACGGTGGAACATAGAAAAAAAAATTGCGGATCGAAGTCATATCATCAGCTAAAGCCAATGATCGTATTCTTTAATTCCGCAATACACAAAGTTCATCCTCAAACCTCAAAAGAATTAGAAAAATAATAATGTAATCCATAAAACGAAATCCCATATCCACAACGTCGCATGCAAAAATTCAACGCATAGACAATTTCAGACGAGAAATTTCCAATTTTTTTGTCAAGTTTGAGNAGGGTCGATCACAGAATGTGGCCGGAAACTGCGGTATTTGATAGTACTGTCCTGAACACCCCCTGATTCTGCTTGAAAAGTCCTTTCATGATTTCTCTTTCGATCATGAAGACGGTTCCAATTTTCAAATTTTTGAAACTACAGTATTTTCCCCCAAACAATTTCAAGACAAAACACATTCCTCAAAACGAATCGAATTCGTTTTAAGATACGTCATCACCTCATACAACGTACGTCAGTGCATTCATAAGATAAGTACCAAGCTCAATATCGTCAAGCGGGTGATGTTGCCAGCAAATGTATTATTTATAATTTTCAGTCTCAAAAAGTCAAAATGGTCACGTATGCAAGACGCGATGTTTGTTTCTTAGGCTGAAAAGTCAAAAAGTCATAAGTCAAAGTCTCGGTCAAAATTTTCAAAATTCCTCTCTGAAATCCCTCAGAAACAATGCATTACAAACCTAACTCTTCAGACTTTCCTCAAACCTCAGAAGTAAAATTTTCCGGATGCCTGCTGGATATTACTTCATCGACACAGGAAAGAGAAAAGCAAAAAATATACATAATCTTGATGGGTTTTGACAGGAATTGATAGACTAATTGGACAAATACTGTAAACCCTTGCATCCAACTTCAGCATCATTTCAAGTTTTCATCTCATTCAAGAGACAATTTCACGCCAAGAATATCATCAAATGCCATTTCATGTGTAGTCAAACTCTCCAAGTCGTATTTCAAAGGAACATGAAAAAATCGATTTCAGGAAATTTCGAATCAGGAAAAAAAAAACACTGTAGTTGGGAAAAAGAATTCCAGGAAAATTGTAATTAGTGATATTTTAGGCTTTTAATTGCTTCTTGAAAGAGTTGACAGAATGCTGCACTTGGAAAGGCAAGGGTTCATTTGCCCAAACTAGTCTTTTAATTCCTCGGAAAACACATCAATGCACCTTTTTTTTTTATTGATTTTCTCATTCCTGTGTCAAGAAGACAACAACAAATAGTCCGCGGAAAAGTTGAGTTGCGAAGGTTTGAGAGGAATAGCTTTTGCGTTAGAGAGGTTTTCAATGCATGATTCCGAAGGGATTTCCAGAGAGGGAACTGTGAAAATTTTCACAATTTATCGTCCGTACGCCATGATTTACAATTTTTCACCGTTTTGAGGTCCTTTCGTCACTGATTTGTTTTTCTGGTCTCAAATTGTAATGTATATTTTTGAACTCGTGTGATGATAGTGACATGATACTGTATTTGAATTATTACCTCTGGAAAAAAATGGACTCTTTTCTTTCAGAAAAAAAAGAAAAAAAAACACAATCAGAAGTCAGAGAAAACTTAGCAATTCCAGCCCCCCTTCCCATCAGGATCCCATCAGCTGACCGGCAGACGACAACCCGCGCGGGTTGCTCCCAGCAGCAGCAGTCCTCCCGAGGGTGACGGAAATAAACCGACACGGTTCCCGATCACTGACGTTTTCTGCGGCCCCATTTTCAAGGCCCATCTCCTCAACTTTGTCCTCCTCTTCTTCTGGCCGACAATTTCGAAACATGCAAAAACGGCCGAGACACCAGTCGAACCTCTCCTCTGGCAACCAGCCAGAAACACAACCAATGTGGTTTTTTCTGGACACACACACACACGACCTGGCGTTTGGCCTAAGCCAAGATTTTTCTCCTTTGCTCGTGGTAAATCAGACGGTCGCCAGAGGTTCTTCGCACTTTCGTGCATCTCCCAAGACTCCGTCTCAATTTTCGCGAGTAAGTGAATCCCCAAGTGTAAGTGTCTTGTCTGAAAAACCTGTCGAGTTTTTTTCCCACCCCCCAGCTGAAAACCCCGTTCTTTTACCTCGCTTTGAAGTTTGTTCGCACTCGAGAAATATGCACGGGTTCAATTCAATTTGATTACAACTGCATCAACAAGCACGAGGGAATTTCCCTCGGTTTCTAAGCGAAAACGTGTGACGGCATCGTTTTCGAAAAAGAATTGTCTTCAAAGTTGAGAAAATTGCCATTGATACCCAGTGAAAGAAGCGTCTTGAACTCAGCACAAAAAAAACACGATTTAAAAAAAAAAGAGATTCCATGATCACAAATAGACAACGACTTCCACAGTTTGAATCGTGGCGGAATTATTGTGAAGTATGTATCAACAAAATTATTTCCCGAATGTAAAATTAGCATTCGCCAAACCTATTCCACATACTGTATTTCCTTGAAACCGAAAACAGTCGCACGAGAATTCGCACACCAAGAATTAAAAGATGGAAAACATTTCGAAATTTTTTTCCCCGGAAGTCATTCACTGCATTGCTTTTCGATGCATATGAAATAAATTGCAGGTGAACCTCAATAAATTGAACCTCCTCAAGTCAAATGCCTCTTTCATTTTTCAGGGACTCTTTTCCAAGTCCCTGTTCGAATTCCTAAAGAAACAATGCATTAAAAAAACCTCCCTAACTCTAAGGCTTTTTTTCCTCAAACCTCTATACAGTAACTCAAATTTTCTGGAGGTCTTTTGACAATCATTTCACCGACAAAGGAAAGCGTAAAAGAATACAAAATGTACCTCGATTAATTTTCAAAAGAAAATGAAACCTCTGTCTTCGACTTCA